GTGGTTGCAATTTATTTTTCAACTCTGTTCCTGAGCATTATAACCCCAATTTGCTATTGTGTGCTGCGCATTTTACTGAAGACAGCTTCCACATCACGAGTGAGAAGTGCCGAATTCCCAAAAGCTTTTGTTGAAAGATGGAGCAAGGGGGCGTGGCAGTACTGAAACACCGTCTAAGCTGTTCGCCAATCACAACGCACTGGGACTGCTAACCAATCACAACACATTTAGTTTTTTCGGAAGGCAGACCTTCATCAAAGCCGGAACTAATCGAGCCGTTTGTGCCAGGCTGGGGAGAAAGGTATTTTAATAATGTAAATTATGTGAAAAATAATGCGTTTTTCGAACCACCAAGCATGAGAGCATGTTCTAGTACACCCCCAAAACAAAATCAAGACTTTGTAAAAAGAGCATAATGGGACCCCTTTAAAGTCATGTTTTGAGTGCAATTCAAAAAAGAGAAAACACAAAATAAAACAAAGCTAAAGATTAATTTGAATGATTTATTTTTCCCCCATACATGTCTATAGATATTGTGATAATATCATTATTGTGAATTATTTTACCCATGATATCATCTAGTGACAATCTGATACCATGACAGGCCTACAATGAACCAATCAGAACGATATGGAGGAAGGACAAGCATTTTCCGCTTACTGAGTGTCTGCTACATGTTAGTGTCTTAATACCCCAATTATGAATAACCAATGACGAGCATACACATTAAAAACATGTCTCCAGCCCTGTGTATTCTGTGTCTGTACCTGTGCAGAGTCCAGCTCCGTGCGCAGGGCCGCCCTCTTTCACCTGCTTGACAAAGATGGTGTCCATCGGCTCCAGTCTGTTCCGTGTTTTCCCTGATGACAAGAGACACAGAGCAAGAGTTATTCAAGAGTCTGATTACAAAACAACAATAATAAAAAACATACAAAATAAGCAGGACGCTTCCATGATTTTTCATGTTGTCATACATTGGAAAGGAATAGCAAATCTATCAATCTCTTTTTCATTTGCATTTCCAAAAATGTCAAAGTTAATGTCTTACACGACTTTTCAGACTGATATCGCATGATGAGACAGCACGTGTTAATCTACTGTACTCTAGTCAAGCTCAGTGAATCTTCTGTGGCAATCTTTCATACTCTGATCTGAGTAAAGTGTAAGATATGAGCATGCTTACGCGTGAGAGTGTGTTTGCACATATTTGACAGGGTTAGATCATGCTGACAACCGCATGCCTGCAGGGATACACCGAGGGAAAGTATGTGTGCTGTCTGAAACAAATATAACCTTTTATATAATGCATAGATCTGACTGGCTATCCACATCATGACAAATTGCACTGAATAGTATGCCATATTAAATGCTGCATGCCATATCTGACCTGCTAACTCATCCACTACGTTTTTACACATTTTGTCTACTAGTAAAAAAAAGAAAAAAAAGAAGAGGAATCATACTCCACAATGCACAGAAACTGCATAACAAAGCCTTTGCAAAATGCATCATCTTTGGGACAACTGCCATGAGCCAAATATTGAATTATCAGACACTGTAGGCCAATTATCTGCACGTTTTCATCATTTTCTGTGCTTAAGGAAAATCTGTAGAATTATGTGGAATGTTTAAACAGAGCTGACTAACCAAATTATTTAATAAGCAAACACTTAAGGGGCAGGAGACAAATGCCAATGTCTTTGTTCGCTGTTCAAGTTCTGCAGAATCCTATTATGGCAGATTATGACTGGCCTACATGTACAGTTGTCTGGGACCAGAAAAATCAAAGCCACACCAGCACAGAAAAGTGCACTGCAGAAAACACACACCCACTAAACACACAAAATCACTGATGTAAACAGATAAGTCTTGCAAATGCTTGCACTGACATATAGACATAGAAATGCAGTATTTGGAGCTGTGTTACACTGATGTGTGGTGTCAGGCTCCCTCTACAGGCAGATGAGGTATTGCAGAACATTTTCACTATGTACTGAATGATTTAATACATCACAGACCAAATTACATACTGAGCAGCACACTCTGGTTTCTGACATACATCTGGGTGTTTGTAATGTACATGCATTAGTTTCCGACTTCATGTCATGGTATGAAAAACTAAGAGACAAAATGGATGTTTGACTGTCAAGTCAATTTTATTTACAATTAAATATTGCTTTAAAGCCGCTTTACAGAAAATTCAGTGCGAGCGTCACAAAATTCAGGTTTCAGGAATCAGTAGTTACAAGTAGTATAACAAAGCAGCTCTACAGAGGAACCAAAAAGCAGTTTCCTCTGGCTTTTATGAGCAAATTGTGATTCCAAGTCCATATATTGCAACTAATGGTATTTAACTTAAAATAATAAATACTATAGCTAAAATAGCATGTAGTTTGACTTGCAGTAGGAGTCTGGAAGTTGGTGTCTCCTTGTGAAAAAGTGTGCTTAATTTTATTGAATGTGCACTTGTAAGCAGCACAGTTATTTAAGTAGAGTAGAGTAAAGAAGTTGTGGTATATGGTATGAACATCTTTTCTCAATCAGTTGCCATTTTCATTTTACTATTATTATTATTATTTCAAGCACCCCTGGTTTATCCAGTACTGAACGGATGGTTTTAGAGTAATTGGATACTATCAATATAGCGGCTCAGTACCAGACCAGGAGGTTAATATTTAATACCACTACATTTGAATTGTAGTTAAATCTGATTAGTATTGGCATCACGTGAGAAGCTATGGATAATATGATATGGCTCATCCTCATCTATTGAATCAGGCTGCCAAGACTGAATTTTTAATGGATTTATTGAGAGGTGAAAATAATCAAATGCTCTAAAGGATGTCCCACTGATACAGTTATACTATTACAGCCATCGACTAATGGGCTGTCGATGTCAATCACAATATCTGTGGTAATTTTCATTTCAAAGGTACTTAAATCTGCAATGCTTCAGAAGACTTAGAATATAGAGCATGAGTTGTACACTGATCAGCCACAACATTAAAACCACATTCTTAATATCATGTAAGTCCCCTTTGTGCTGCAAAAACAGTTCTGATATGTTAAGAGATGGACTCCACACGACATCTGAACGTGTCCTGTAGTATCTGGCACTGAGACAGATACTCGAAGTCCTGCAAATTGCAAAGTGGGGCCACTGTGTATCAGATTTGTTGGTCCAGAACATCCCATAGATGTTCTGGGGAATTTGGAGGCCAAGCCAACACCTTGAAGACTTTGTCATGTTCCTCAAACCACTTATGAACAAATTTTGCAGTGTGGCAGGGTGCATTATTCAGCTGAAAGAGGCCACTGCTCTCAGGGAACACCACTGACATGAAGGGGTGTATGTGGTCGGCATCTTTAGGTAGGTGGCACGTGCCAAAGTAGCATCCACATGAATGCCAGGACCCAACATTTCCCAGCAGAACATTGGCCAAGACATAACACAGCCTCTGCTGGCCTGCCTTCTACCCATGCATCCTGCTGCCATCTCTTGCCCATGCAAATGATGCATGCGCACCATCCACCTGATCTAAAAGAAAATGTGATTTAACAGACCAGGCAACCTTCTTCCATTGTTCCATTGTCCAAGTATGACACTCACATGTCCAATGCAGACGCTTTCTTTGGTTACAGGGGTCATCATGGGCCCTCTGACCTATTTGATGCTATACAGCCCCATATGCAGTAAGCTGTGATGCACTGTGTGTTCTGACACCTTTCTCACCATGTCCAGCATTAAGTTTTTCAGCAATTTGAGCTACAGTAGCTCTTCTGTGTGAACGGACATGACGGGCTTGCCTTCACTCCCTATGTGCATCAATGAGCCTTGGATGCCCATGACCCAGACGCTGGTTCACCGACTGTCCTTCCTTGCACCACTTGGTAAATAGGTAATAACCAATAAATATGGGGAACACCCCACATGACTTGCCATTTTGGAGATGCTCTGACTGAAGTCTAATAGCCATCACTATTTAGCCCTTGTTAAAGTCACTCATCTTTTTGCTTGCCCATTTGTCCAGCTTCCAACACATGACATTCAAGAGCTTACTGTTCACTTGCTGCCTAATATATCCCACCTTTTGATAGGTGCCATTGTAACGATATAATCAATGTTATTCACATCACCTGTCAGTGGTTTTAATGTTGTGGCTGATCAGTGTATATTTATTTATTTAGGTTTTAACGCCATATCAGCTGCATGCTAATCATTCTAAAAACATGTTAGCAATACAATAACTACATGCTGATTATGTTAGCAACATGCTAATCATGCTAGAAACATGATTAACAACATGCTAATCACATTAGAAACATGCTAGTAACATGCTAATCATGTTAAAACATACTAGCATCGTGCTAGAAACATGCATATTAACATCTATCTACATTTTCAAACTTCAAGCTTTTACAATTGCTTTAACCTTTCAGGCTAGGCTTTCCAAGCCAACCTCAAAGTTTGTCTTGACAAACTTTTTATTATCTAGTTTCTGAATAATATCCTTGTCTAAAATAATTTAAAATCGGACATTCTATTACAATGTTTTACACTCAAAAAATTCTTAAACCAGTCACAAACTGGTTTCTCTTCTACTTTCAATAAATATGAACGAGTGAGTCTTGAATGTCCGATTCAACATCTTGTATATACAACCTGTAGCTATACTACTATAGTATACTAATAATTGTAAGGTGTTCAGTTTAAAAGACTCAAGTGCTTATAGGTTTAACAGACCAGGCAACCTTCTTCCATTGTTCCATTGTCCAAGTATGACACTCACATGTCCAATGCAGACGCTTTCTTTGGTTACAGGGGTCATCATGGGCCCTCTGACCTATTTGATGCTATACAGCCCCATATGCAGTAAGCTGTGATGCACTGTGTGTTCTGACACCTTTCTCACCATGTCCAGCATTAAGTTTTTCAGCAATTTGAGCTACAGTAGCTCTTCTGTGTGAACGGACATGACGGGCTTGCCTTCACTCCCTATGTGCATCAATGAGCCTTGGATGCCCATGACCCAGACGCTGGTTCACCGACTGTCCTTCCTTGCACCACTTGGTAAATAGGTAATAACCAATAAATATGGGGAACACCCCACATGACTTGCCATTTTGGAGATGCTCTGACTGAAGTCTAGTAGCCATCACTATTTAGCCCTTGTTAAAGTCACTCATCTTTTTGCTTGCCCATTTGTCCAGCTTCCAACACATGACATTCAAGAGCTTACTGTTCACTTGCTGCCTAATATATCCCACCTTTTGATAGGTGCCATTGTAACGATATAATCAATGTTATTCACATCACCTGTCAGTGGTTTTAATGTTGTGGCTGATCAGTGTATATTTATTTATTTAGGTTTTAACGCCATATCAGCTGCATGCTAATCATTCTAAAAACATGTTAGCAATACAATAACTACATGCTGATTATGTTAGCAACATGCTAATCATGCTAGAAACATGATTAACAACATGCTAATCACATTAGAAACATGCTAGTAACATGCTAATCATGTTAAAACATACTAGCATTGTGCTAGAAACATGCCATTAACATCTATCTACATTTTCAAACTTCAAGCTTTTACAATTGCTTTAACCTTTCAGGCTAGGCTTTCCAAGCCAACCTCAAAGTTTGTCTTGACAAACTTTTTATTATCTAGTTTCTGAATAATATCATTGTCTAAAATAATTTAAAATCGGACATTCTATTACAATGTTTTACACTCAAAAAATTCTGAAACCAGTCACAAACTGGTTTCTCTTCTCCTTTCAATAAATATGAACGAGTGAGTCTTGAATGTCCGATTCAACATCTTGTATATACAACCTGTAGCTATACTACTAT